CAAGATACTTTTATAATTCACTGATTGTTACTGCTGGTATTGTCGTGTCATACTACATATGAATCAGCTTGAAGCTTGAACTGACAAATTTTACTCAATAACAACAGTGAATGATAACAAGTGAAACAAACCTCAAGATAGGACAGGTCCTCGAAGGTGGCACCAGTCTCTCTAGCATAGGCATCCGCATCTACTTTTGCCTCATCCAATGCGTATCGGCACAGTTCAAGGCCCTCGTCAATGCATAACGGCATTTGTTCAGTCTCTTTAATTTTTTATTCGTTTATTATTGCAAATGCGAGTATCACTCCGATTGATATTGTCACTCTTTTTGTCTTATTCATATATGTTATTTATCATTATAGCCTTTACTTGTACTGCTGGTATTATCGTATGAATGACTGAAGTTTGAACTGAAGATTTGATGCAATTTTTTCGAACCACACCTAGATATTTGAACATTGTGTCCTAACCGTAGCAGCACTATCAGCGAGAGCACAACAGATAACAGAACATTTGGGATGATGACAGTGAATGATAACAGGGTGATTAACCTGGGAAACGCTCAAAGTGAGCAACAATTAGCGCACAAATTTTTTGAATCCGTCGAAGACACTCAATATGACAGGGTCGGTATGCACTGGCAGTCAGCTGAAAATCATTACTTTTAATGGAATTTATAAGAGCGATGTTCTTGTTACAGAGAAAACATTTGCTTTGAATGCACTTTTCCAAAAAGGTTAAAGTAAAGAGTGAATTCAAAAATTCGTCTATCCAAAAAAGTTTTCACTCGAGAATGAACGCAAATATTCGTAGAGTGTTCCAATCGTTGAAGAAATATATGTAAATAGCGAATGGAATGGATATACTTCAAAAATGACCTCGTAAGCATCGATTTTCAGCTTCATCAACTGTTCTGTGTAATGGTACAATTGATCTGCGTTCTCGTTTTCAACCATTTTTTGACTCTCCAAAAGACATTGCGTTTTGCAGTCAATCAGTTGCAATCGTTCAATCCGAGATGAATCGCTCGTACGAATGCTCTCTGCAAAACGATTACAAATTAATCTTATTGTGTCTCGAAAATCACAAAGTTTATGAAGTCGTCGACGATATCGACAAATCTGATGACTCACGGTGAAG